GATTCTTGGGAGGACCAGGCAATTAAATTCATAAGCGCATTTCCCCTTTCCCTCACCCCAGCAGATCTTTTTAATTAGCAAGGCTTCTCTGAGTCAAATCCTTAGTTATTGAGGAATGAATGTATCACATTTCCAGCTGACTTTCTCTAGCCCAGGGGTTGTCAAACTAGGGTGCCTCTGGTTTTTTTTTTTTTAAAGCTTTGCCACAATTTCTTCTCTTTTTTTGAGCAAAGGAAATAAAGAACTTTATAGGAAGGTACACTGGCTAGAACGATCTCTGAAGTGTGTGATGTTGCTAACCTGGTGGCAAAGACACCTGTAAAAAAATTACCCATATTTTATGCCACCAGGAAAAGCATTCCCAGGCTGAAAGCTAAGACTCCTCCCCAGGTTTAATTAGGAGAAGGAAGCCTTCTGAAAGCCTTGCTCCAAATCCCTTCCATGGGGTCACCTTGGCAAGTTGCCGACTCACAACTTTGTCACCTACATTTTTAACCCGGGAACTTATTATTTCCTATAAGGTAAAGCAGTTGAGTTTATGTGAAAATCTATTAATTACAAACAGAATTATCCTACTAATATTCCCATATAACGTTAAAAATAAATTGTTTTTAAAAAAACCTTTACAAAATTAAAGTGTGACATGTGCTATCTGAAGTAGTTAAAAATGTGCTCAAAGGTTGACAAGAACACATAGAAAATAAAATTACAATTTGAGGACAAAAGGTTTGGAGATTAAACCTTTGTTATAATTTCACGTATCACCAAATGTTTCTTGTTGCTTCAACTTTAACCTTAAACATTTACTTACCTTAAAGTATAATGTAAAAATTTCAACTACGTTTCTACTATTACTTTAGGGTTCCTTTCCCCATCTTGAGATGAAAAAGTGCAGAAAACACAAAAATATACAAAACTATGGCTGGCTGTGTACTGCATGAAAAATGGAACTTAATTGGATATTTTTTTCAACCAAAACAAGGTGTGAGATGGTACTGCTTTCAAATTGGCAAAGTAAAATAACTACTGGAATAAAAATATGGCCCACTTGTGCAGGTGGATTTATCAGCTGCTCAAATACTAAAAGAAACAATAGTCTGACCTCATCGAAAAACTGCTGAGTTTTGCGAAGTATGAATTTTAATTCAGTCAGTTCCAGGAAGTTTCTCTTCAGGGCTTCCTGGTTTGTGTTGATTTCCTTCAGTTCATTTTCAATCTTCTCAAAATTGGCCTGCCGAAAAAAAAAAAATCAAACTATTAACTCAAACTAAGCTCAATGTGCTTGCTCTGAAAGAGATGATTTCATCCACCCCACAGAACTCTTGCCATCCTGACAGTTCAAAGCTATCTTATATCTACCCTGCAAATATGTGATTTTGCCAGGGCAATTTTCTTTCTGAAAAATTTTGCTTCAAATTGTCTTTCTTTGTCTATAGATTCTATTAAACACTTGATTGAATTTCTCAAGGGACTTCAGATGGATAAAATAAATGTTGAAAAGTCTATTGGCTATTCATTTATTTAGTCTATGAGATCAATTACTAGATAAACTGACATTAATCCAATAAGGTTTCAATAATTTATTTAGTGGCATATGATACTATTTCAGATACTATTCTATACCATAAAAAAGGGACTTCGTTTTAATGCCATCCACAAGAAACTTGCAATCGATAAACAATGCTGACAAGGACAGCAAGAATCACTCTACTCTTCACCCACCCAGAAATTTCTGCATTTAAGTAGAAAGAAACTTATCCGGCTTCCTCAGAATTGTTTACCTCTAAGTCAATCATGTCTCGGGGGAAGGGCACCTCTGGATTTTCGCCAGTGTCCATTATTGGGATATTAGCTTTTCTTATTTCTTTCTCAACAAATCCTAAAAAGACAGAATCAAAACATTCATGTATATCACATGTCAGAAATTGCCAATATTTGAGGAAAAACATAGTAAGACCCCAAACATGGCTAAAAAGAGCTTCATTCTACGAAAGATACTTTTTGCATAAAAGAAACAGAACATGTAAGCCCTTTTTTCTCTACATTCCTCTTCCTCCTACCCAACACTCTCTAAAGCACGGCCACCCCAGAGAGGGTTCTCATCCCACTACTGTCCTCTTTCCCTCTTCTGATCTTCAAACGGGTCCTCATCTACTTCAGCTCACCCCACTGATGCTTCTGGGGTATGATGGTTCTGGCCACAGGTACTGCTGGCAGAGCAGAAGAGCCAATTCAATAGTAAATTTGGCAATTGACACACTAGTGCGACAAGTCCAGATCAAAAAGATTTCATTATATTTGAAAACAATCAGGTCAGTTTAAGTGAAACAAAACAAACAAAACGCTAGAGGAGGAATGAGGCCCCAAAACACCAGAAAAGGAAAGTGTTTCAGGTGACACCTACTGACTTTTTTTTAGGATGGGGACCAAACTCACTTATCAGCTAACAGAAAGCGGACACAGTACAGTAGTAAGATTTTGGGTTTTAGAGCCAAACAGAACAACCTGGATTCAAATACTGATTCCATCACAACCACTTACATTCTTGGGCAAGTCACTTAACCTCTCTGATCTTTGGTTTCATTTATTAAATGAGATTAATACCCATCTTGAAGGAATGTTGTGGGAAATGAATGAAATAAAGTATATCAACACCCTAACTCTCAACAGGACCTTAATAAACGTTAGTTTCTTCCCTAATAAATAGCTCAGATTAAAAAGTGGCTATGCTAAGGGCCAGCTGAGAGGCTCAGTTGGTTAAGAGCTCGTTCAAGAGTGCGAGCTCTGAGCAACAGCAGTTCGAGTCCTGGCCGGAACTGAGCTGCCACTGAGCTGCCAACAGATGGCAGAATAGCTCAGCTAAAAAAAAAAAAAAAAAGAAAAAAAAGTGGCTATGCTGACATCTGATATGGATGGTGGTCTGTGTCCTATCTCTCAGTATCCCATAATGTAATGCTGCTATAAAACCCTTCCCACAAAAAAAATGAGTGTTTTCAGCTCGCAGCTTTGTCATCACTTGTTTGGTTTCCATTAAGCACCACCTAGCCCGAGCACCACAAAATCTACTGTACACAGGAAATTTGTCTTAACATCAAGATCACAAGATGTTCCTACTTTTCTTTTCTTCTGTAATATTTCCTTCCTTTATTAAGACGAATAGAGTCTCTAAGAGAAATGACTCATTTTAGGAACATCATACTCAAGACCAAAATGCACATACGAAGCTTTCGATCCATTTCTTCACATCTTCTCACTTCATTCACAAATTTCCGCTGGAAAACATTCACATCTGGATTTAACTGCAAAATAAGAACAAAATATCAAATATTGAAACACTGCAACTGTTGTCTCTGTTTCACTAGCAACACATCCTGCAAAGTGAAAACCAAGTTTTGTGTCAATGTATGATGCAACACTAATAAAAACTGTCTACCGATCTACATAATCTGCTTGGGGGCTTGTCACACCAACTAAAGATAAAAACCCTTCCCTCAACTGCTGCAACATATCATTGGAACGGAGGCAACTTAGATAAAGCACAGCGGTACAAAATGTTCTTCACAGGCCGAAAGCCTCAGTGAGCCCCCCCCCGCCTCCTCCACCACCACCATCACCACAAATAATTTGGGCAATGAGTATAACAGAAGCTCTGCATGGTTTTCCTCCTCTCCTTCCCAATCAGAAGAGAGAGAAGGCAAACTTCTCTTGTTCTTCTGTCCCAGGGTCTTCACCTTCTAAATGACAGGTTGGTTTATTCATTCATACATCACAAGTAATTTTCAAAGCAACGTTGACAGATATTCTGGGAAATACAGGAATAAAACAAGTTCCTACTCATTAAGAAGCTTGAAATCTAGAAGATGAAAATCAATAAAATAGCATGTGATAAATTCCATAAAATTAATAAAGAACTACTAGGGTTACTCATTCAACAACTCCACATTTATGGAGCACCGCATATGTGCCAGACACTGTAGTATGCACTGGTGTAACTACAAAGAATAAGGAAAGTATGTCCTAACTTTGAGGAGCTCAGTCCCATGGAGGAAACAGACACAAACCAATAAAAACAATTTGTTGTGACAAGTGCTATTAAAAAGTAAGTGCAATATTGTTGGCACTTTTCTATATAAACATACACCTACCTACCTCATGACTGAGCATTCCACTACTAGGTACTTACGTAAGAAAATGAAAAATGTCCACAGACACTTGTAGGTAGATATGTTTACAGCAACTTTATGCATAACAGCCCCAATCTGGCAATGATCCAATTGTCCATCAACAGAAGAATGGATAAAGTCATTGTGGTATTTTCATACAGTGGAACATTACTCAACAATATGAAAGACTCAACTACAGATATTCATAAAACCAGTTAAATCTCAAAAAACATTAGGCTGAGGGAAAAAAGTAAGGCATAAGAGTCTGCAATGTATGATTTCATTTACATAAAGTTTAAGAACAGGCAAAACCAACCTATAATGATAGAAATAAAAACAGCGGTTACCTAAGAGGGTGGTAGGGAATGATCGGAAGTGAGCACAAGATAATGTTCTGGGCTGCTGCAAATATTCTGTCTTAACTGGGTTGTGGTTATGAAGGTGTATAAATTTACCAAAATCAACAACTTGTATGCATTTCACTGAATATTAATTTTACCTCCATAAAAAATATGTGAGGGGGAAAAAAAGAAACGAACATACACAGGAGGAATAACTAATTCTATCTGGGGGATAAAGCAAAAAAATGTACAAAGGTAATCATCTGAGCTGGGACTATGGGGGATGAACCCGGGTTCACCAAGCAGAAATAGGCAGAACAGATACAGAAAGATTTTAAGTGACTCAGAGACATAAATAAATCATATATTGAGAGATGGGGAAAATTTTACTACAGCTGAGGAAAGGGGGTATATAAGGAGCAGGAAGTTGACAACTCTGTCTTATGGGCAAAAGGGAATCAGATGATCTGACTTTTTTTTGTTGTTACACTTTTTAAAGATGTCCTGTTTTGAAGAATAATATTGTGTGTGAATAAACTGTAAGACAGAGAGACTGGTGACAGAGAGACTAGTAAGGAAACTCTTGGTATTATATTAATATTAGACAGAAGGAATCTAAGGCAAAAGCATTATTAGAGATTAAGAGAATCACTACGTAATGATAATAGGAAAATTTCCCATGAAGATGCAACAATTCTAAACTTGTATATCCCTAATAAAATGTTGGTTTGTTTTTTACTGAGCAGACAGTACCTCAGCCTCCCATTCAGAAATTTCCACTTCGATAAAACATGACCCTCTGAAGTGAAAGTAGCCAAAGGAACTACCGGCTTCATAATCAGAAGGCAAGGTCCAACTGCAGCCAGCCTGTTTCAGATACGGCATATTATCTGAAGTATTCAGATAACAGAAATATAAGAAATATTCAGGCACGGCGTCCTCAAAATATTTCAAATGAAAGTGAATAGAACTATAAGGAGAAACTGATAAACCTGTCTATGCAATGAGAAATTTTAATGTAATTTTTAAATTATTGATACATCAAGTCTACCAAATAAGGATAGAGAAAATCGGAACAACATAGTTAGCATAATCTAATACACACATACATACACACACACACACACACACACAAACACACACACACAATCTTCAAGAATTTCCTCTTCAAGAATTCGTTTATAAAAACTGACCACAATATAGGTCATACGGCAAGTCTCCATAAAGACAATGTTCTCTAATTACAATGCAATTAAATGAGAAATCATTATAAAAAATACAACTTAAACAACATATGTGGAAATTCTAAAATAGTTCCAAATAATTCACAGCTCAAAGAAGAAATCCTTTTTTTTTGGTTCCCGAATGGCTGATTTTAGAGGTGATATCACTAGTTCCAAATGCATTCAGTCATGCCCACATTCAAAAGTGTAAAACTTATAGCAACCACATTTGCCATGAAAAAATGTTGTAATTATTTTGTATTTAACATAATGAGAAATTATTTTTATTTTTCTAAGCAACTGAAAAAGTCCAGTTCAATTGAGCCTACAGATGAAATGAACTAACACATGGTTTTCTCCTCCCCAAATAACTACCAAAGAACTACCAAAGAAAACCCACATGTTATTTCATTTAAGTGAATTGTACTTGATGAATGACACAAATAGATGTTTAGAGATAATAATGCTGCATATTTGCAAGGCTGAGTATCTGTTTACTGTGGTTTGGGGAGAGCCTAGGTAATTGCCTATAAAACAATCATTTTTGTTAACTCTTGTCCTTAATATGTGATATGTGAATCTTGATACAGTACTTCATTCGCTAGAATAATCCTTTCATCACAAAAGTGCAGGTTATGTATAAAAATTTATTTGTGAATGATTTCAATAATTCTCTACAAAAAATCCTAATGATAGTAAATAGAAATTAGTATTTAATAACTGATATATATAAAGCAATTTAAATAATTTAGAATGAAAATGTTCAAGGTCAAAATTGTCAGCAGCTAAAGTGGTATTTACAGGGAAATTTGTAGCCTTAAATGCATATAATAGAAAAGACTAAAAATTAATGTGCTAATTGTTCAAATTCAAGAAGTCAGAAAAAGATAGGAAGTAGAAACCAAAAAAGAGCAGAGATGAATGAAAGTCCTAGAATAAAACAAAGTCCCAGAGAAGATGCCCCAGATCAAAAGCTGGTTGTTGTTTTTTCTGAGTATTTTATTTTATTATTTTTTTCTTAACAGCTGGTTATTTGAAAAGATAAAATAGCCAAAATGTGTATAACAGTGAGAGAAGGTATAAATAAATGTAAGAATAAAAAATGGCAACTATAGATAGAAAATATTTTTTTAAAATATAATACTAAATTTAGCTTTATGCCAATAACTTCTCAAAAAGTTTAGATTATAAATGGGCAATATTCTAGAAAAATATAACTTACAAAACCAACTTAAAAAAATAAAACAGAAAAAAATCTATAATCTAATAACACCAGGCCTATAAGGTTTAAAGATAGGCTCTATTAACCATATAAAAATTAGATAAGCCCAAATCTTAGAAAAATTATTCCAAAGAGGAGAAAAATGACGAACACTTCTCAACTAACAAGTGAGATTGGCCAGTACAACCTTGATGCTAAAACAAGAATAGTTTGAGAAAGAATAATTACAGGCAATATCACTTATAAATATAAATGAAAAAATACTAATAAAATATTAGGAAACTGAACCCTAAAATTATTTTGGAATACACCTCTTGACCAAGCTGAGTTTATCCCAGGCTTGCAAGCATGACTTTATGTTTTTAAAAAATCTATACAACTAGCCAATAAACATATGAAAAGACGCTCCACATCATTAGCCAGGAGTGAAATGTAAATCAAAACCAGTATGAGAAACTACTTCAAACCCATTAGGATGGCTATAATTAAAAAAAAAAAAAAAGGAAAATCAATGCTGGTGAGGATGTGAAGAAATTGAAACTCTCATACAAGCCGTCCGGGAACCGGTTCCTCAAAAAGTTAAACATACAATAGAATTACCATATGACCCATCAATTCACTCCTAGGTATATACCTCCAAAAAGTGAAAACAGGTACTCAAATACTTGTACACAAATGTTTATAGCAGCATTATTCACAATAGCCAAAAAGTGGAAACAACCCAAATATGTGTATCAACTGATGAATGAAGTAATATATATATACAATAGAATGTTATTCAGCCATTAAAGAGGAATGAAGTACTAATACACACTACAGCATGTTTGAACCCTGAAAACAATATGCTAAGTGAAAGAAGCCAGTCACAAAAGACTACATATTGTATGATTCCATTTATATATAATGTCCAGAATAGGGAAATCCATAGAGCCAGAGGAGATTAAGTGGTTGCCAAGAGCTAGGGGAGGGAGAGATGGTGAATGACTACTAATGGGTACAGGGTTTCTTTTGGTGGTGATGAAATGTTCTGGAATTAGATAGCGGTGATGGTTGCACAATCTTGTGCATACACTAAAAACCACTGACTTGTACACTGTAAAGGGTAACTTTTTGGGTATATATCTCAATTAAAAACAACATCAATTAAAAACATCGGCAGTGGAATCAGATAATCCCGGGTACAAATCTTTGAGTTCTTGGGATAGTTATTTTCATCCAGGTCACAGGTTCCTAATCTGTAAAGTGAGAATGGTAGGCTCCACTATTCAAAAGTAGGTTCTACTTTGCAGGGTTGTTGTGAAGAATGCCTGCAATAATAACACAAAATGCTCAACGTGGCATCTATTAAAAACATGTAAATTGTCATTATGGTTGTGTTAGACAATAAGGGATTGACGAGTAGGGAATATGTCAAAGAGAAGAATGAAAGAACATAAAAGAGCATTTTGAACAAGTTGAGTGAGGAAACATGTCTTACTCAATTGTCTCTCTAAAACCCACAATGGTATCTTTTGAAGATACGTTGCATATTTTTATATTTAAAAAAGATGCAAAAAGAAAGAAAAGTATAGATACATGTTACAACATAGATGAACCTTGAAAACATTATGCTAAGTGAAAGAAGCAAGTCACAAAAGACATATTGTATGACTCCACTCATATGAAATGTCCAGAATAGGCAAATCCACAGAAATAGAAAGTAGACTATTGGTTGTCAGGGGTTAAGAGGGCTAGGGAGTTGGACGGAAATGGGGAGTGACTGTTAATGGGTACATGGTTTCTTGCTGGGATAATGAAAATATTCTAAAACTGATTGTGGTGATGGTTGTATAACTCTGTGAATATATTAAAATATCATTGAGTCATACACTTTAAATGGAGAAATTGTATGGTATGTGAATTATATGTCAATAAAGCTGTTAAAAAATAGTAGGAAAAAATCTGGATATGTAATTCACCAAATTAATCGATTCAGGAGAAAAAAACCACCATAACCTCAATAGGTGAAGAAAAGGCATTCAATAAAATTTCACAAACATTTGTGACAATAACTTTAGAAAATCATAAATTGAAAGGAATCTGCATAATCTAATAAGTAGAATTTTCCAAAATGTAAGAGTAAACATCTTAAACTGTGAAACATTAAAGATTCCCCTTAAAGTCAGGAGCTAGACAAGAATGCCAGTGACAAATACAGTACATAGCATTTTGCCCTATTTCCTTAGTAATCACTTTTGTTCAGAGCAGTGGCTGCTCAGTTAAAATACCACATTTCCCAGACTCCCTTGCAGCTAGCATATCACATAATTCTGGTCAATAATAAATCAGAAAAGTATGCTGAGGATTTCTTTTTTCTTTAAATTTTTTTTTTTAATTTTTATTGGGGAATTAGGGAGGGGAACAGTGTTGGGGAATTGGGGAAGATGACCAGACAAGTTGTTGTTCTTCAATCTTCGTTGTGGAGGGCACCCGTCGCCATCTGGCTGCCTATCGGCAGCTTGTGGCCTCTAAGTTCAAGGTGCTGTGTTCAGTCTTAGTTGCGGGTGGGCGTAACCACCATCCCACGCAGGAGTCGAACAAGCAGTCTTGTTAAGAGTGAACGCCCTATCCACTGAGCCATCCGGGCGGCAGCTCAGCTCAAGGTGCGGAGTTCAGTCTTAGTTGCGGGTGGACGTAGCCCACCATCAAACAGGCAATCTTATTATTACACCAGCTGAGCCATCCTTGGCAGCTCAGTGACAGCTCAGCTCGGGCACAGCATCACTGGCCCATGTGGGAATTGAACTGGCGGCCCTGTTGCTCAGAGCTCATGCTCTTAAGCCAACTCTTAACCAACCGAGCCACTCAGCTGGCCCTGCTGAGAATTTCTGGGAAAGTTTTTTTCTCCTCATATAAGTATTTTCCCTTTCTCCTTGCACTTCTTTCAATGAAATGTCTGGAGCAGTGGTGGTTATCCATAAGGACAAAAGCCAAAAGCTCAAGGATAGTCAAACAGAAATATAGAATGATCGTAGAACACTGATGACAATGTCGAGCTGGGCTTCATGTTACATGAGAAAAGTATACCCCTATCATTTGGGTTTTCAGTTACACACAGCTAAACACAATCCTAACCAGTATTAGCTTGCTGTTCCTCTTCAACACGTTATTAAAGGTCCCAATGTACATGGGGAAATAAGAAAAAAAAGAAAAGGATGAGGATTTAAAAGGAAAAAACAGTTTATTCTCTAATGGTGCAGTAAAAAAGATTATATCAAATGTGGCAAAATGTTAACAACTGGTCATCTCCATAAGAGTAGTCAGGCTTGAAATTTTTCAAAATAAAAATTTAGGAAAAAGGAAAATACTCGTACTGATAAACAAAAAAGAAAAATAGACTTTATGTATGACAAAATATACCATAAACAAAGGGAAAAGGCAAGAGACAGTCTGGAAGAAGTTATCAGTAAAGGAGTAGAAAAGGATTAGCTTCCAGAATACATGAAAAATGTTTACAAATCCTACAAGTCCGCAAGCAAAAGACAAGCAAACAGGCAGATGATACGGAGAGACACTCATGGAAAATGAAATCCATTATGTCCAATAAACAAATAAAAAGATATTCAATGTACTAATCTAAAAAACGCAAGTTAAAACAACAAGAAGATATCATTTAACACCCATTACGTTGGCAAAATTCTTTAAGTATGAGCACAGAGGTGTTGACATAAATGTAGAGTACAGGAACTCTCAACCAGCAATGGGAGAATGAACAGGTACGTGCACTGGGAAGTACACTTTGACAACATCTAACAGTCAGGGATGCACACGATACTCAGCAATGCCCCTCCTCATTATAATCCCTGGAGTAGCAGCAGGTCTGTGAGATCAGTAACATTTTCATAGTAACACTAAGACATTTGGATTTTTCATTTTCATTCTCTCATGAGTGTTCAGTGAAGTTTTCCAGGGGCTCATGACGTCACAGCAGACTGCAGACGCAAACATGAGAATCTATCTTCTATTAATGCAGACACTAAAAGATTTTCAAAAATGTAAAAGCAATACCACTCTTCTCACTATTTTTTGGTTTGTTTTGGAAAATACAATTTTTTTTTCATGAAAGCTGTTAGGATAACATGCAGTGGGCTTTTATTATAATTTTTAAATGATTTAATAAATACATATTTTAAACATTCATTTCTCAGTTTCAATTTCCAGTGCAGTTAATATCAATAGCTGTATAACTCCCATAAAAGCCATTTGGGGTCCTCAATAATTTAAGAGTATAAAGGGGTCCTTAGACCAAAAAGTGAGAACCACTGCCCTGGAGAAACTATCACACATGTATACCAGGAGACATATACAAGAACCTTTATTGCAACACTGTAATATGTAATAGCAAAGAACTGCAATCAACCTAAATGTTCATCAGAAGGAAAAATGATAAACTGTATATTCCTACAATAACATACAGCAATTTATAGGAATGAACTAGCACTACCTGTACCAATATGGTCAAATCTCACAAATGTTGAATTTAAAAAGTACCTGCTGATGGATATATATAATATGATACCATGTATATAGTTTTAATACACACAGAATTATACTATATATTATTATTTAGTGATATATACATACATAGCAAAAGTAAAAAATAAAAACACATAGAAATGTTAAAAGCAAACATCACCGTAGAAAGTTACCTCTGGGGAGGAGGGAGGAGAAAAGAATGGCAAGGAGGAGGGATAGGCAGGAGCCTTGAATTACACGTGGGAAGTTCATCTCTTTAAGTAGATAGTAAAAACATAGGTATTCATTATATTATTCCCTATAATATTTTGTATGATTGAAATACATCATAAGTTAAAGTTAAGAATGCTGAATAAGAGGGAGACACCATAGGACCAGATGAAGGATTGCAAATCAAGGGTGACAGGTTTGATTTAGGTTTTAAGGCTAGAAAACTGGAAAAATATCAATGCATTAGATTCCAGGTTAGGAAGTCAGGAGAAGAAATAGTTTGTGAAAAGGTAAGGCGTTGGGATTTAGACATACAGCTTGAGAAGCAGAGATGACAACAATCTTAAGAGTTGTAAATTCAGGGAAGGCATTTGGGAGGTCAGGGCCGGAGATGCAGATTTGGGGTTCACTGAATAAAGATGGAAGGTTTGAGAATAGATGAGAGAAAAAGGTGATAAAGGAAGATGGCGGTGTGGTGAAGCTTATCCAAAGAGAGCAGAGAAGAGAGCCTGGGGGACACTGACACAGGGGTGGAGCAGAGAGGCTGGTGGAAGAAAACTACAAGTCCTCAGAAAGGCAAGAGAAGGAATCCGAGTCAGGTAGGAGAACATTCCAAAAGAGAAGGTATAAAAAGGTTCAAAAAGAATGAGGAAGAAGACTACATCACTGGATTTTACTCATGCAATTTCAGGTCAGACTGAGAACTTCCTGAAAGCTTGCCAACTCCAGGAAGGCTATATTGATGAATCCCACATCCTGCTGATCGCTCCTCTCTCATCCACTCATTCATTCATTCCAACAAATACTGATTGAGTACCTTGTATTGGGCACTAACGATACAATTATGAATGTCTGTCTTCATGGTGCTTATATCATAGACTTTAACCAACTACTCACACTGAAGAATGTAAAATTGCAACTATAATGCATGCTGTCAATAAGCGGTACATGGAGCTTTGAGATTGCCTAACAGGGAATTGTTAACTGCCCCCTCCTTTCAGCAGCGTATACTGCGCCTTCCTGATTAGACTGTAAGCCCCACAGGGCATACTTTTTTATACTCTTAGATTGTCCATTTTCTTTTGATGTCTTCCCCAAGTGCCCAGCATAATGCTTCAGAATAATGGGTATTCAGTATACGTTTACTTATACACTATACTTCTGTAACTGGATGCTTCAGATTTTGTAATAAATATGTCCTACTGTATGGAAGAGCTATGACAATTTTTTTTTTTAATATGCTGCTATGGGTGTTAATGGAGCTCAAAAGCAAAATGCAAGCCTTAAATAGGTTAGTTTGGTGTCCTCCACCTGTATCCCAAGCAATTACCTTGAGAATATTTAGGATTATTCTCAAAGGGGGAGCTAGGAAAAGCATGGAAGGATTGGCACACACCAGTCTCACCTCTAGAAAGACAACTCAAAAAAGTGCACCAATAGTAAGCTGTGGCATAATGTTATTTTTGCAAATAAAAAGCAAAACATTCATCATAAGGCAATTGGCCACGACAAGAAAAACACAAGTCAGTCGTAATCAAGAAGCAGCCCCACAACTACTTACATCACGAAACTGAACCTTTCCAAGTTCTCCTAATTCACTGACGCAACAATAAGCAGCTTCTGACTGTAGAAAAAGCTGGGCCAGCGTCATCTCCTCACTCCGGAAAAGCTCCCCCATGGTGGCAGAAAGTTCATCAGCTGAGTGCCTAGATTTCTCTCCAACCTAAGGCAAAAAGAGAAAATTACATGACCTTGGAAGTTACTAAGAGGGCTAAGATCAAACAACACCCTAGTAAGGCTCTTTTCGTTTTGCATTTTGTATCTTCCATCTCACGCTGACAGGTCTTTCACAACTGTTTTGACATCCTTCTTAGAAAGATGGAAAGGAAAAATTGCAAAGGCTGTTACTGAATTCTGTCCCCCAGAGTGCCTGATGAAAAGTCACTTCCTTTGCACTCAACATCAGGATCAAATGACAATATTTTGGGATATCTCAATACATAAGAATGTATCCAGATTAAAAACAGGAACTGGGAATCCCAAACAGCTCTTTAATACTCTGGACACAGCATTACAGGCAGTGACACTCATAACTTTTTCTGCTGTGTCAGGACACAAACAGAAGAGCACCCTCCCATAAGGATGTACCCGTTACAACGTTTTCTACCCTCTACTGCCCATTTCTAACAGTCAAAGTCCCAGCACTACCCTAAAGCTACGACTACCTTAAAGGGTTGAACATTCTCAACTCCTCAGAAAGCACCATTTTCTAATAAATCTAAACACATAATCATTATCTAAAAAAAAAGAAAAGAAAAAAAAAGAATCAGCTTGCATATTAAGTCCAATTTCAAGTCAAGCATGACAAGACGTTGATAATGACAAAGCAGTTTTATCAAGCCACAGAGACTAAGCTTTCCACCTCTGCAGCTTTCTGTTTCTTATCCCCATCTTCAAGATTAATTACATTCGTCCATCTGTTAAAGCTTCTCATGCATGAGCCAGTAAAGGTTTCATTTTAGGGCTGTCTTATCGCTGCAGGGTAAGAAAAACAATTGGCGCTATCAGTGGTCCTGAAACTGCAATTATTCATTCTCAATCAGCTATTGTAAGGCGCAGGCCCTATGGTATCTAAACTCAGCAAAACGTACAGTATTTTTAGTATCATGAGAGCATCCGTAATGATAGGCATCAAAGGAAGAGTTACTCTTCTGTAAGGCTGGGAGACATTTTGAGAAATGTGAATGACAAAACCTGTGTGCGTTTGATGCTCAAGGCAGGAAAACAACACATTCACATATAATAGCAAGGATTTTTCAAGAGATTATGTAGCTTGATTTGATGACTGTCTATACCTGAATCATCCAGAAACATGTTATCATACCCGAATACACACCCCTTATTCAACAAGGATAGATTTTACAATTTCTAAACACATAAAATTATGCCTAATCGGCATAGTTCAGGGGCTGCCAATAATGACAGCCCCCAATGAGTTGCTACTAGTACTGTCATCCAGTTCTCGCCACCTAACAAGGTATTCAAATTCACCTGCTTCATTTCTTGTGTACTCAGTAAGAAAATCAGGAATTCTATGAGCCCGGACACACCTACCTGGAGTAGGGATTAAAAGGGGGAAATCCTCAAATTGGGAGCCCCTTTAAGAAGCCCCTCCCAAATTCTTTCGGACATCCCAATAACCTTCAGTTTCTCCGCCTACCCCTTAAATGGGGGAAGGGACCAGGGCCTCCAAAGGGGAGTGAACCTCCGGTTCTTCTGCCCACAGGAGGGGTGCCCAAAGAGGGGTGAAGCCCCATTTCCTTTCAGAGATCTAAGATCCCTGCTAATTCCTTTGACAGGCGAGGGGGCTGTTAAAAGGATTTCCCGTGCCCCTCGGAGGCCGCTCCCTGCCGCGCTGTAGCTACAGCCCCCGCTCACCTCCAGCCGCCAGCGGGACCACAGCCAAAGCAGCTGCCGCAGACTAAGCCCGCAGCCTGCGCGGCTCCGGGCAGAAGCGCCTCGACGTGCGTGCGTCCGCAAAGCCCCGCCCCCGCCCCGCCGCCGGCCTCCGCCCCCACGATGATCTCATTGCAGTTGGCCAATGGAATGCGGCCTCGGTCGTCTGCCGCAGTGCGGAGCCGCAGCGGGGGTGGGCGAAACCCTGCTTGTTGACGCCATCTTGTTCCCGCTGCGGCGGCTCAGGGCTGGGGCGGAGGGTAGGTGGGGCTTCTGGTGCAGGTGTTCGAGGCCCTGCGTTCCTGAACCTTTCAGAATCCCTTCTCCCTAACACTTGCTGAGAATCCCTTCTCCCCAACACATAATTTTCCAGGCAAGACTGCCTGCTTTCTTTATTTTCATATCCAAAGAATCAATTCACAACGTTTTCTCCTCGAGGGAACTAACATGAAGGAAGGGGAGAAAGCATTATGAAATGACCGAGAGCTAGGGAGAGCTTGAAAGCTCTTCTAGTCCCAGAATGCAGAGTGACTTGCTAAAGGTGCTAGATCCTGTACTAGAGCCTACTTCACGTAACTATGGAAAACGCCTATTTAAAAAGGTACTTGGTTTGGTCCCTCCAGCAACTGTACAGGTTCTGTCCATTTTTCTCCAAATAACAGTGGGAAGAAACCCTTAAGACCGTGTGTTTTGAAAATATGTATCTTGTTTGGTGGATTCCTGCAGGCCCATTTGACCACAGTTTTAAAAAAATGATTTGTGTTTTAAAACGTACAAGTGATGCCTACGTGTTCTTATAAAAACGCCTTTCTCAAATAATACCGAGTCCCTTTTCTTGACTTTCTTTTAAAGAGGAGCAGGGATCTCAAATCGTTTGTAATAACCAGGACTTATCAGGAAAAACTCGGAAAACCGGTTATTCATTCTCCGTGGGTGGCATTTATTTGAGATTCAAGTGTAATGAGAGAGACATTTCCGATAAAAACCTGATGCTGATAATTTTGTCTACCTGGCAAAACATCACCAATCCTTTTTTTACCAGCCTTTACAAAATAATGAAGGTGCAAAAAGAACATTTTATTTGAATTTTCTGTCTCACGTTGTGAGTGAAAATAGAATTTGATTTCATTACCATTTAGTTGAGAAGTAGCACCTTGGAGAGGCCCAGACCCTCCCTTTTACCTGTGATCACAAATGCTCCCTAGCTCTCTCAACTTTCCTGGCAAGGCAGATAGGGACCTGCATTTGAAAACCTGCCAAGTTTTAGAAAACTATTATGCAATGACTGTCATTTCCTTTTTCTGAGTCTTAAAAAAATTTTTTTTAAACCTCAGAGTCAGCTGCTTGCTAACCACAAATTTTTCATACACCGCTAAGACAGCCTTTCATCTGGACTCCGCTCAATTCCCTTGAACTCCGCTCAATTCCCTTGAACTCTCCTTCGTCATGGCTTCCTTGAAAGTATATCCCCTCAGAGCTTTTCTATTTCCTTTCCTATATCCTGCCATCAATCTTTCTCCAGTGTTCTATTTCTTATCCCTTCATGATCTCTTCCTTGGCAGTCCTGCCTATTTTCAGGATTAAATGTCTATGTGTGGGATTCGTACTTCGTTTTCCATCCACTTCTCCAAGGCTCAGGGATGGAATTTCAATCTGCGTGAATAATGCCATTCAGACAACAAATGCTTGCTGAGGGCCTACTGTGTGGCAGACACGGCGCTAGACGCTGGGGATAGGAAAATGAAATAGACACACTTCCTATCCTAGAGGAACTCACAGTTCAGTGAGAAATAAAGTTCCAATAATGAGGGGGTGGGGGGGGAGGGAGAGAGGAAGAGAGAGAGAGATGAGTGCAATGATTAGTATTTACTATGTACCAGGCACTTTTCTAAGTACTTTATAAATATGAACTCGTTTAATCCTTACAATATATTGGGAGGCAGATACTATAATTATCTCCATTTAACAGATGATATGGTAAAACTGAGGCACAATAATTTGCCCAAAGTCACTCAGCTAGTCAATGGCAGAGCAGGATTCAAAGCCAGCTAGCTTGGCCCATTTCCTGTACTCTTACGTATTGCACTGTTCTGCCTCTGTTAAGAGTGCTGTCTCTGAGTCCAACCTGGATTCAAATCTTGATCTGCCATTTAATATCTGTAACCTTAGGATTCTGTAAGCCCCAGTTTCTTCATCTGTTAAATGAGGTTAATAATAGTACTTACCTCATATGGTTATTTTCAGGAGTAAAAGCAATCCAGAACATGCTTGACACTCAGCCTGCATTAAAAAACTGTTAGCTATCATCATTGTCAATATTATTGTTGAGATACAAAATACTGTATAGTGGACCTGAGGATGTCAGAAAAGCTTATATTTGAGGAGATGAGATGAGAGCAGAATTTTGAAGGATTAGAGCTCTCACTGAATAAAAACTGCCCTTTCCCCTCAGGCCCTTAATCCTGCTAATGGCAGCCTCGTTTTTCTAGTTACCCAGGCACCAAGCTTAAACCATCTTTAATTCCACTTTTTTCCTTTCTTTCCACATTTTGTCAGTTGCTACATCATGCTAATTGTGTGTCCTGCATTTATTTCTTGCCTTTACCCCTTTACCCTTTTTATTTTCATTGTCGATAACCTAGCACAGGTCTATTTGCCTCTCTCAGATAACTAAATGGTAGCCTACGGGAGGTAGTTGAATAGACTACAAGCTTTTGTACCATCCCAAACTAGGCTTGAATCTCAGTTCTTCTCTTTATTCCACTTGATAGCAGGTATAAGAGGAATAAGTCTCAACTCTAACAGTTACAAGGTGTGTGAACTTGAGCAAGTTAGTTTACCTCCCTGAGCTTCATTTTTCTCATTGGAATGCTCATGGGACTTTTCTGTTTCTCTTTTATTAAACACAATACTTTCCACGTGACTTTTTTTTTTTCTTTTACCAAACTATAAACTCCTTTTTTTTCCCCCTTGCATTAGGCCTACTCATTCAATAGTAAGTACCATTTCTTGAATGAATCAGTGAATGGATAGATGACCATGAAAGAAGTGGGGTCCTTCTAATAGAAATCTATCAACAAAGGAACACAGGTTATCAGACAATAGGAGTATGATCACATCCTGCCTCTTTTCTCTATCCCCATTGTTTTATGAATTTCATTATCTGTGGGGAGAAGAGCTCTGTGATAGATGCTTGTATTCTTTTGTGTGTGTTTAAAGTTTATTGGGGTGACACTTGTTAGTAAATTTACATAGGTTTCAAGTGTATAATTCTGTAATTCATCATCTATATATCACATTGTGTGTTTGCCACCCAGAGTTCTCCTTCCATCACCATATATTTAAGATGCTCGTATTCTTGTAACAAAGACATAAATGGCAGATGGGAAAGGTTCAGAGCAGAAGCTAGAATCCGAAAATGTCTGTGGAGTCAGTGAAAACTTTGCAGGATCATCAAGTTCAGCACAATAATAGTGCTGATGTATGTATTCCATTTACAGTTCTCAGAGTTATTCCACATTGAAGCATATTTATGAGGAAAATGCTGTTTCAATTCAATGAAGAGTACTTTTATAAAAAGCTTTCAGTCATCAAAAATCCAACATTCCTTCAGCAAACATCTATTAACTGTATGCTTTATACCAGGAGTAATTCTAGAAACTGGAAATGCAAAGATAAACAGGAGTTCACAGTCTATCAGGGGAGACAGACAGACAACTAACTGTAGCATAACATGTATAGTATATCAGCGACTGGAACAGAAGTCTATGCAAGCCCAGAGAAAAGCATTATTAATCCTGCCTGGCCTTGGGGAAGGCTTTAAGAAGACATGACATTTGAAATTGATATTGAAGGATGAATAGAAGTTTGTTCAGAGGAGGAGACAAAGGCTAATAAAATAGGACAGAAATAGTATTAGTATTAGACTAAAATCAGATTTTGTTTTCATCACAGTCAGCAAATACACTAACTTAGCCCAAACCTGATTAAATATTTTGATCCAGAATAATCAGGCATTTTTGTTGATTTTATCCATAGTTGCCTGTATGCTTCTCTAGGAAAGAAAGAAGACAAAAGGATCTTCTGGGTTGTATTACACCTTTCTGTCACTTGAAAAAGTACAGCATAAATGTATAAAATGCTGCTGACCACCTAGCCTTATAAGACATGAACAATTCCATATGAAGACCAACCACTACTGCAGTTCTGGGTGTCTGAACTGCATTATTGCTTAGCAATTATTGCTGTGAAAACATTTAAACAATAGTTACAAAAATTAGTTTTTCACTACTAAGACAAAGCAGAGAGGGGAGAGTGAGATCTAAGAGTCTCAAAAAGTTGTAAGAATTGTCACTGGAGTGGAATGATTAAAATACATGCTTTTTCTCCTTTTTCTCTCTTCATTTTTAGTTTGATCGAATGCACAGCAATTGTCCAAATTTCCATCAGTGAAAGATTTCCATCATCTCATTTGCTCATCCAACTTAGATTCCTAGATAGGGCGTAGAGGGGAGTATTAAAGTTAAACCAAGCTGTCCCTCTTTTCCATATGCTTTCTGTATTCGTTTCCTAGGGCTGCTGCACAAATTATCATAAACTGAGTGGCTTAAAACAACAGAAATTTATTCTCTCACAGGTCT